TATTTATGTAGACTTGAAGACGAAGATGTATATTTTATCAAGTTTTACCACTAAATGTTCAATCTTATATTATATTAAAACATTAAAACGTAATGTTCATATATATATATATATATATATATATATATATATATATATATATATATATATATATATATATATATATATATATATATATATATATATATATATATATATATTCTTTTAAAATGAAACAAAGTTGGAATGTTGGCAAGCTTGGAATCAAAATACCAAATGGATAAGGTTTAGGTGGCTTATGAGGGACACTTGCAAAAGAACAAAATGTACGGAATTTTGATAAGATTTTGGTGATTAATATCCACAAGATCCAAACCAAACTAAAGCTAAGCATCTCTTCTATATGCTAATTAAATTATTTTCCTTCTTTGCATTAATAAATCAATATAACTTCATAAAAGAATATTCTCTAAAACACCACAACGTAGTTACGTAGCTACTTGCGTCATTTCCCATGCTCAACATACGTAATTTTTGCGTTTTCTAGAAAAATATGTTGTTTAATATTTCATAATATTATGCAAAGGAACAAAATAAATGAAATAAACATTGAATAACATATCAAAACGATTTATGTTGAATTATCAACTTGAAATTTGGCTCAGTCATATTGTATGTAGTTGATTAATTATCTTTGAAGATTGTAAATAGAGAATTATAATAAATTTAAAAAAAAAAAAAAAAAAAAAAAAAAAAAAAACTTTCGCTTTTAGATTTTTTAAAGCTAAACTTTATTTATTTCAAAACTATTAGTGTATATTATGTATAGATAGCATTTGCATGTAACTAGGTATTTAGCCCATTAGTTCTCAGCCCATATAGTCTTTTGTAGATTGTATTATATTATTGTTAATGCAGTTATCGAATCATGAGAAATATCTCGACCAATAAAAACAACTCTTATATTTTCTAAATTGTGTTTGTTCTAACTTCTAACACGACATCTGTGATCTATTTAGTATACGGATTTATTAAAAAAAATGTTTAAAAAAATTGTTATAAGCATTACGTATTTTTTAAATTACATAAATACAAATGAACAAAGTTATTATGGTCGACAATTTACAACTTATTAGAGTTGGATCTTCTAGATGAGTTGGAAAATGTATTTGATAAATTTTGGCATTTGATATTTTAAGAAAATGAAAATGATTTTTAGACGGAGGAAGTAAAAATTAAAAGTATATGTAGCCATACAGTTGCACTAAAAACACATATCCGTGACAAACGAAAATGAAACCAAACAAATCTTTTATTGAAAAAAAAAACAAACCAAAGGAATATAGTTTTATTGTGTGAAAGTAGACCGTTAGCAGGAACCATTTCTTATATGTAATAATACTGTAAAAAAAGAATGAAATATTCTTATTAATGGAATATATTAATTTACAAATAAATGTTAAATATGTAGTATGATGCTATAACCTAGATTAATGTGTTATTGTGTAAAAAATGACAAAAATGTCCCTGAACTGTCGGAATACATAACCACGAATGTTGGCATTAACCACATTTGATATGTTATTATACCACACGGAACAAACGAAAATAATTGCCCAAAACCTAAATCACCAAAAGTGATCATCAATTGAAGGTTGAATTACCACTTCACCTCTATGGCTATATGTTTGTTAGTCATCTCATGAGCCACTCCACCTTGGTTCCCACAGAAAGTAAAACCTAAAAAAAATAACAAAAAAGACTTTATTTTTCGGTAATCAGAAAATTAGACTCAGTTTAAAAGCACATTCAAGTATAATAAATATGTTTGAATAATGAATATGATATTTGAAAGTTTTAAAATAGTAGGATAAGACAAAATATTAGTATGGGTTGAGTTTACCAAGAATACAATTTTTTAACAAACGAATATGAAACCAAACAGAGCAGTCATCAAAAAGAGAGTGCCAAGTCATCAAAAAGAGACTACCAGGAAAGGATTAAAAGGATAATGTGTGAATTGTGATGCAAATACCCCAGTAGTGTTGGTAGAAACCATTTAAGATATGTTATTATATAACATGTAAAAAAATGATGGCAATATTTTATGATTTATCAACTGTCAAAGTTATGTTCAAGTGATAACATGTGTAATATACTAACTATAACCATTTCTGATATGTTACTATAACACAAGTAACAAAAGGATAGTCTGTCTAACCCTAAAAATCATATTTTTGATGTGTCAAACTAAAGGAGAATATAAAAATCATATTAAAATATGTGTCAAACTAAAGGAGAATATAACATTTGGCGGAAAAAAAAAACATTTTTATTTATTAGGTTAGATTTTTAGCAAGTTTACTGATGACAATATGATAATCGACAAAGAAGAAAAAAACTTAATTTTGTTTTTTTTCAAAAAATCAAATCATATTCTGAGAAACTCTTTTTTTGAACCAATTTTTTAATTCTTGCTAATAATTCATTTTTTTGTTGTAGCTTTTTATGGTATTCTTTATGATGGAAGATGGTGTTTCGATTATATGTGTGTTTGCTAGTTTGGAAATGGTAAGTTGCTTGTCTTCTAACTTACTTGGAATTGTATGACATATGGTTATGCCTTTGGAATTGTATGATATATGATTATTTGTCTATTCATTTAAAAATAAATAACAAGGCAATGCCTAAAGAATTAATTGATTCTGTTAGTATTGATGTGACTACTGATGAGGAAAAATGATTATCAAAAGAATATAATAAGATTAATATAGATCAAATCACGTAAAATCTGAAATGAGATTTTTAAGCATAAATTCAATTCAAGAATTGTCTTTTTGTTTGCTTTCGAAAACATTATAAGATGTTTTACCAACCTAGACTCATGTTTTTCAACCGGATCATTCTCTGAGTATCCTATAGATAAATTTAATATGTATTTTATTAACAAAAAAATTAACACAATAAACTTGATGCTTCTACTAAAAACAATTTAATGTTACTTCAAATTTTAATGTCGTCAACAACCTATAATATCATAAACCACGAATTATATGTCAAAGCAAAAACTTTGGCCCATAAGAAAGTATGTTAAGTACAAGTGTTTTACTTTTTGAAATAAAAACTCAAGTCTTTTTCAGAATTTCTTTTATCGGTAAACATGTTAAAAGGGCGTGATCAAAAATTTGTAAAAATGTGAGGGTATTCTCGTAAATATATTTTTTAGGTTTAAAAAAATCCAAAATTATAATTTTTTTTTTTTTTTATAATATAAACCCTAGAGAGAAAACAAAAATGGTCACTGTTCTTAACTTTTTTGTAATATAATAGCCCAAAACTAAGAAAAAAAAAGTCCACTAATCACCAATTTCGTACGATAAAAAAGAGATTACGATACATAGTTTATTGATCTGTTTATTGAAACACTAACTTCATCTAATCAACACATGTTTTTTTCATCACATGTTTGTAGGTTGCAATCCTTTTATGGATCGATCCGAGCATGAAAGTCATATTATCTTTCATGGAAGCCATATTGTCTTCTATGGACAGGTTGTCCAATTTTGCGTCTTCAAGTATGTTCTTCAGGGTTTTGTATTGTTTTTGTTTCCGATGTTGTGGAGATAATGTTGTAGGACTCTTTATCCATGGTGAATCCTTTTTGGATTTTATAATAAAAAGTACCATTAATGAAAATTAGAATTCACCCAACAATTTTTTTCAAGCATGAGATCTCTTTTTCATAGCTTATCCTTCTGCTAAGACAACCTTGATGTTGATATCTACGCATAAAGAAAATAAATGTAGTAAATATTTTCTTAAAATATGATACAATAAATTCACAAAAGGTTTCTATTATACCTAAATCAAAGACAAAGAAGATAAAACTTTGTGCAGGATTTTCAATCAATATCAACACTATAAGACAACCTCGTGAATTTCCAATTTCTCCTTCCTTTTTCACTGCTTCGCCTTTTCGATTCAAACCAAGAATTAGAAAACAAAAATCATAATAACTAATAGATAAAATCGTGTCATATCTTTGTTTGACTTGTTTAGTCAAATATGGAACAAAGAATTTATATAAATTTTGACAAAGATATATATATATATATATATATATATATATATATATATATATATATATATATATATATATACTTGTATAAAAATATCTCAGATCTAACCTTATCACATTATACTGGTGCAGAATTACTATTGATATTTCTCATGTCACTAATTCCTTTTTAATTTTGTCCCATTTCTTTTCTTATAAAAGATCAAAATAATCATTTGTTGTTGAAATAATGTTTGAATAAAACCCCCAAGGCTCTAACCTTATCGTATACAATGCTTAGGGTTATTATTTTCAAGATAGAGTTTTGATTAAAGATTAAAAAATTTCTTTTCTGCATATCGTTTCTAAGCAAACATCATGGCGATAAGCATTTCTCTTCAAATGAAGCTCTATGCAATTTCCTTGAGGCTTTTAACAACAAATGAAAAAGGTTATGAAGATCATAGAAGATGATAGAAGCCAATTTGAGATGGCTAATCTCCCAAGAATTAAAATGAAGAAGACAAACTAAAATCAAATAACCATTTCATTAACTTTTCTGCCTCTTACTTCAAACGTTGACTTACAATTTAAAGATGCAATCACCTAATGCTAAGCTAGAATTAAGGAAACATGCATGTATAATAAAAGTGGGTTCCTAATAAAATGCAACTGCTCTTTGATTAACTGAAAGAAACGTGGCTATTGGGTCAGGCCATGGAGGTGGTCTTGAATAGCATCTTAGACACGTATCAATTCCTCCATCCTTCAAATGGACCTTGTCCTCAAGGTCCTGCATACGGGTGCATACAACATCTGGAGCAGGAAACTGTGGTTTGAACGGTTGAAATGTGACGGTTCGGAATTTCCTGGATATTACTTTCGATGGTGGCGGTTGCGGTAATAGTGGAAGTGGGTGTTGTGTTGACATGGGCAATTGCAATGGTTTTGGAGGCAGCAGTGGCTATGGCGACAACGACCGTTGGGATGGTGGCAATGGCGGTGTGGATAGCATTGTTGTTGGTAATCGCGATCGCGGCGGCCTTCGTTGTTGATTCTGTGGTGGGAGCGGAGGTGGAGGCGACATGATTTTGGCCATGGTTTCGATTTGAATGTTGATCATGAGGGTGTTGATGGTGGTCAGTTGTGTGATAATTACATCAAGATGGTGGAGGTTAGCAGTGGAAATAGCAATAAGTGTGGAGAGTTGTTCCTGGATTGTTGGTGGTGTGGCATCAGTTGACGGATCTTTGCGGAGAGGCATGATGAATGAGAATGAAAGCACCATTGATAGAAGCCAATTTAAGATGGCTAATCTCCCAAGAATTAAGATGGAGAAGATAAACTAAAATCAAATAACCATTTCATTAACTTTTCTGCCTCTTACTTCAAACGTGAACTTACAATTTAAAGATGCAATCACCTAATGCTAAGCTAGAATTCAGGAAACATGCATGTATAATAAAAGTGGGTTCCTAATAAAACGCAACTTCTCTTTGACTAACTGAAAGAAACGTGGCTATTGGGTCAGGCCATGGAGGTGGTCCATAAGTTTTTATATTTGTAGTGGTTCAAATTTTTGGCACTAAAGTTTATAATGTTAGCAATTTGGTCCCTTAAATTATTAACAGTGGTGTAAAGATAAGGATGTGGCTGATACGTGTCGTTCCCACGTGTCCCCTGGTGGTTCTACCTTATCTTACCCCCACCCGCTTTCTCATCCAACCATATTCGGATTTCACCACTTTTTGAAAACTCTCCATCTCCTTTTAAACCCATCAGCTTCAAATTTCTGTTGATCGTTGCTCTTGTTTTTCTTCTCCAATCTACAGACGGGACCATATAGATGAGGCAATTGATTCCAACAGACACGATGCATATGAGGCAACCGATTCTATCAGACCTAACAAGGTTTCAAACAAAGAAACTTAGGGTTTCTTGCTTTCTTCACCTCCATCTCCCTCTAAAAACGAGCTTTGCTGGTCTATGTTGCAGTGCGCCAACGAGAAAAACCCTTGCCTCCTAGATGGAACACCTGCCAGTAAACCCTTCCCGAAGGAAACAGGTTCCCGTATTCTTCCCTTTTCAGGTCAAGGTACACCATGCACTACTGACATGACACCTCAAACTCCACCACCTTCACGAGTCGGTACTTGTACGCGCGCTCCACAAAGCGGCGATTGGGGTTGGGGTTTCGTCCGCGGCCAGGGTCCGCTACCAGTGCAGGGTTTCCGCTTTGAAGAAGAGGGCTTCCACCACCACTCTCTGGGCGAAGTCGTGGTCGTAGTCATTGCAACAACGATTAGGTACAAATCAGGTACAACCTTTGGTGCTTGCCTCCTGTATCTTCTATTTTCCTTTCATTTTTTTCTTGCCTCTATTGGGAACAGTCGAGTTGTGCAATCGAGTTGTAAGTTGTACAGGTCCATAAATCACTGACGTCTTCTTATGTAGTTCCCCAAATGGTTGAAAGGGTTTTCGTTTTTTTTCCTTGATAGCTAGTTAACTATTATATGTCCAACACATCAATATCATCTTCAAGAGTCTTTTGTAAGTTGCAAAAGTATAGTTTATTACATGTATTATGTCATTTACGCACAAATTTGACAAAATAGTTTAAATATCAATAAAAGATTTTACCTCTGTGTAGATAACTGTATGGTGATACTTTTGTCAATGAAAGCCTCGGCCAAATGCGGCATCTCACCAGCTAAATATAAAAATTTACGAATCACTAACTTGTAAAAATAGTAAATAAATCAGCTAAATAGAAAAAAAATAAAAAAATAAAAAGAATAAATGTGAAAAGGTTATACCAATAACAATAAAGGAGGTAGTTCCATCACCAACTTCCTCAGCTTGTGTGGAGCTTAGTTCAATCATGGGCCGGAAAAAATTAAACAAAAAAGAATAATATAAAAAATTAATGATAGCAAGATTTAAGAGCATAAATATGTAAAAGCCAACGGAAACTTATATGATTATATTAAGTAAAAACCTTTGCAGTTGGGTGAGTTGTATCATCCCAAAATCTGAGTGTAGAAATTTCATTTTTTTAATATAACTCAAAACATTTGTAACTTTGTTCACACATTGAAAAGCATTTCAAATAAAACATTTATCAGAGTTTATTCCCAAAAATCACATATTGCGGAAAACACGGGAGTATGCGTTGCGATCGTCCCAGACCCCTTTATTTAAAAACTTGGGGTACCTGAAACCAAAACTGAAAATCGTAAGCACACGTTTAATGAGTTCCTCAACTATTACATACCATACATATCAACTCATCCCAACATGTCATACATAACCGTGAGCTATACATATCATTCATATATCATAATCAATAAAGGTGCAATCTGCCGCACATAGTCTTGCCATTATGCCATGGGCCGTCTCATGGTCTTTTTGCCAAGTCGGGAGGCCACCTTCTGGGTCTTACAGACAAGTCCCAAGAGCTATCTCTTGGTCTTCCGTGTGCCAGGAGCTACCTCCTGGTCTTTCATACATAATGCCTAGGGCTACCCCCGGGTCTTCGTACAATACAGAAACCAAATATCATAATCATATAAACATTCCTCGGGGCCCGCCCGACACTATACCGTAATTCGGAAAGCATACAAACATTCCTCGAGCACCGCCCGACATCGGACCGTAATCCGGAAACATATAAATACAAACACATTCAAGATTCACGAAGATGTCAAACATACAAACATTCATCGGGCACCGCCCGATATCGAATCATAATTTGGCAAACATATAAACATACATCAGGAACTACCCGACATCAGACCTTAGTCCAGAAGACATACAGTCATAAATACAGGCCGACATTGGTGCCTTCAACTCGTTCAAACAGTGAGGAGACTCACCTCGAATGCTAAAGCTAACTTCAAGAATCCTTAGTTGCTGCCCTGACAACTCCCTAAGTTATCAATACCAAAATAACACCAAATTAGCAATTAGGTCTCAAATCATGATCCATAATCCATACTTGGGGAAAATAACCATTTTACCCCTGGCCTAACAAGATTCATAACCAAGGCCCAAGCCCAAACCAAAAGGCCCAAAACTATAAAATCTATAAAGGTCCACTAATGGCCTAATTTTCCAAATTGAGCCCAATCCCATATGGGTCTTATCTATGACATCCCCATTTTCACGGCCAGAAAAGATCGATTTTGTTTATGCTTTATAAAAGTCAGAGTACTTCTTTTCATAAAAATGTTGCGGAATTTGTTCCCAAAAAAACATGATAAATACGTTATCAAAGCATTTTCGAAGAAACGTATTTTATTCATTTTAAATTGTTTGGGATGTCATCGTTAATATAGGCACATAAGCATAAACGGAACTTACATTTATTTACACAAGTGATTACATCTCTTTAATCTCTCAGTGTAATGTCACTTCATATCGACACCTGTGATATAAATAAACTAAGTGGGTTAGGTTGGGAAACCTGGTGAGTACATACGGTTTTCAACCTACAATAATATAATTATTATGTTTAAACAATTAAACAATCAACTCAATTACCCATCTCCATTATCTTCTTTATTCTTAAGGAATCTACCCTAAGAATTAGCTATTTCTTGTTCATTCATTTCTAAGGAGTATCCTAAGGAATAGGTACGAATTCCATCGTTGTAAATGACACATCTGTCAAGCACAACTGCTAGTTCTGTCACTTAGGCGCGACTGCCAAAATTGTGACATTCTCTATGGGGTACATCTGCCAGAATAGTCCTTTAGGCGCATTTGTCGGGCTTATGAGGTTCTCTATTAGGCTCTTCTACCACTAGAGTCCTTTAGGCGCATCTGTCGGGTTTTATTGACAGTATCGTTTTCGAGAGTCCACTCGCAATACGTATCAATGGGTTTTTAGAGTACACCGGTGAACACGTCATTCACAACACCTACAGGTTGTGAGCCTGCTAGTGTTCCACTGTACTGTCTAGAATAGTCCGTGGTTGTCATCCATACTCTGTTGAATGACGGGGCCATCATTTGGGAAAAAGGGTTCTCACATTGTCCACCTCTCACCCTCACCTCACGGTCTATTTCACCTCTCAACTCATCATCCAACTCATATTTCATCTATTACATCTACCCATGTATTACCCCAACATTTTCATAGATATAAAATACATATACAGTTTAAATCATTTAAAACGTGTATAAAATCGTTCACCCAGCATAGATATCAAGTATTCAGATAATATGCACACATATCACATAATTTATATAAAATACTTCATATCTATGTGTAAGTTGAAAGTAACTATGCACTCACCTGAAAGGTGGTGACTCAGCACTCGGACAGCGCTTCGATACTCTCAAAACAATTTTCCTTCGATAAAAACCTAGTATTAATACCACTAGGGTTTAGTCTAACAATAACCGCGACAAATTAATAGTCTGACTATTATTACTATTATATAAGCGTTAAATAACACTCAATATAACTCATAATAATATCCCAAATAATTATTTTAAGGACCTAATCACATTACAATAACTAATTAGAAGCTATATTAAAAATAGCGTAGGCGTAGCTCACTTACAGCGGGTTTTATCGAAAACCGGGCTTTGCTGGAGCAACGTTCCTGAGCCAAAAGGCTCCTCCTCTCGGAGCTTCCTGGTGCTCCGGGACTTGCTTCTAACACCTTGGAGGTGCTAGGGAAAAACCTTGAAGGTTTGGGGGTATTTAAGAGGAAAGAAATGAAGAGTTGTGAAGAAAATGGGAGATTTGCGCCTCTATTTATAGGCTGCCAGCGCCGAGTACGCCGAGCGTACTCAAAAATTACGCTAAGCGTAATGGTTATGCTGAGCGTACTCAAAATTACGCTGGGCGTAATGTGCCACGTGTCACCATCTGGTGGCTAGCCTTGGGGAGGAAGCAACGGCTATGATCGCGCCACATCACCCAAACTCGTACAACACCCTCCCGACTTAGAAAAATCATAACTTTCGCATACGAGCTCCATTTTCGACGTTCTTTATATCCACGTGAAGGCGGTAATGTACTCTACAACTTTTGTTTAGACTCCGTCGGCTAATTTTGAATTTATTTTAAATTTAATATTTTTAACACGCCAGGACAGGATTGGTCCGTTAAAAATTCATAACTTCTTCATCCGCTGTCCGTTTTCGTCTGTACTTTTATCGTTACACTACAAATAACGATATATTCAATTCTTGTTTAGGTTGTGTCGGCTAAAAACCACTCGATCTAATATTCGAATTTCGGGTTGTACACCACTAAGCCGAAACTTCGAAAAA